TGGACTTACACCAACATGAGTGGACCTCAGCCACACTCACATAAGAGGCCATTAGATGAAAACGAGACTCTCGAAGTACGTGCACGCATGTACGCAAATCGAGGACCGAACCTAAGGCACGAATGCCACTCTACCAAGGCATGGCAAGGCATGAAATATGATATGCAAACATGCAAATTTCAGAAGCAAAAATATGACCCGAAACAGCCCCGAATCATGACAATATAGCACCCGATGCATGAAATGGTCCCGAAATGCAAAATTAGGCATACATAATGGCCTACAGCTATACAAAGCATGCAATATTTGATCATGACATGTGAATACAGATTCAAGGAAGCCCCAAAACAAGCATATTTTCAGTTTTAAGAAGGGCCAAAAAGCAAACACAAATGGGGCTAAGCTAGCATGCAAAAATGGCCCTAAATGTGAGACAATGAAGCAAGTTACAGCTGCTGGCCCCAAACATCTGAGGGTCCTTCAACAATGTTGAAGAGGGACCAAAAATATGACCTTTTACAGCTTACAACAAACCACAAAAACCAACACAAGTATGGCTAAGCCCTCAAGCAAGAAATGGGCCAAAAGATGGACAAAGAAGCAAGTTGTGGTTTCTGCCCTTAAACACAAAGGGGCCCTTCAACAATATTTAAGAGGGACCCAAAATATTACACTTTACAGTTGATGGCCGGACCCAAAACAGTATGCATGCAAGCCTAAAGTTCTACACAAAATAAGGCCAAAAAGAGAGATATAACACAAAGTATATAAAGTATGCCTCAAACAATGAAAGACCCTTAATGAAACATTAAGAGGGGGTCAAAATAATACTGTTTTCAGTTCTGAAAAGAGCCCAAAAACAGAAGCACAATAGGCTAACAAATCATGCAAAAATGGAGCAAAAAAAGGGCTATAAAGGCAAGTGGAAGATAGAAGCCTCAAACATCATTGAGCCCTTCAACAATATTGAAGAAGGACTCAAAATAAGCCCCTTTACAGTTTATGACATGCCTCAAAACAGATTATACATAGGCCAAAAATACTACACAAGATAATGGCATACAAGAAGGATAATGAAGCAAGTACATCAAGGGGGCCTCAAACAGTGAGGGGCCCTTAAACAAAAGTGAAAATGAGCTCAAAAAAATGCCACTTTCAGTTAGGGCCGGAGCGCAAAACAGCAAGCATGTATGGCTAAGAAATGATACAAGAATAAGCTCAAAAGAGTGGGAATGGTACTCACCCTTGAAGACCAAATTTTGATAGCTTCTTGGACCAAAATGCAGCACTCCTAAGCTCTGGAGAACACCCTCAAACTGCTGGAATGGAGGATGGAAGGGTAGGGCTATGGGTTGGTGAAGAAATGGTTCTCAAAACAAATTTTGTAACCCTAAAATCCGAAGGGAGGGGGCTGTATATATAAGCAAAAGGGGTGGAAAAGACGGGGAAAAAAAGGGGGGGGGGAAACAAATCAAGTTTCCCTCCAAAATAGCCAAACCCTCGGACATGGGCATAGTGGAAAATAAAATTCACTTCTAGGACACACTTGGGGAGGGGGGCATGGCCGGCTAGTTTAAAAGAGCAAAAAAGTCATTTCGCCAAATAGGTGGCCGGCCAGCTAGATTTTCTGGCCGGCCAGCTACTTTCAGGATGAAAAAAAAGGCTGCCGGGAAGAAAAGTGGCCGGTGGGTGATTGGGAAGTCCAATGGTGGCCATTCAAGTGTCCAAATTGAAGCTCCGGAAGTTATCTTTCCAATGGCGTAAACCTTACATTAAAAAACAAATTAAGTTTCCCCCCAAAATGGCCAAACCCTCGGACATGGGCGTAGTGGAAAATAAAATTCACTTCTAGGACACACTTGGGGAGGGGGGCATGGCCGGATAGTTTAAAAGGGCAAAAAAGTCATTTCGCCAAATAGGTGGCCGGCCAGCTAGATTTTCTGGCCGGCCAGCTACTTTCAGGATGAAAAAAAAGGCTGCCGGGAAGAAAAGTGGCCGGTGGGTGATTGGGAAGTCCAATGGTGGCCATTCAAGTGTCCAAATTGAAGCTCCGGAAGTTATCTTTCCAATGGCGTAAACCTTACATTAAAATTCCTCCTGTGGAAAAAGTTATGCTAGTTTCCGTAAAGCCGCGCAGATTTCAGTCCAACCAGAGTGATGCCCTACTTCAATCAACCATATCTCCCCTGTCCGGAATTGAATTTAGGAGATTCTTGAGTGAAAAATGAAGCCCCGGGAGTAAGATTTCCAACGGTCGTGGCCTCATAGTTTGATTCCAAGTATCCAAATGAATAGGCCCGATTCGGCGAGGGCTGCTCGACTTTCTTTTAACGGTTCATGCCCATTTTCTCCCCCTACTGGATTTCTTCCCTCTTCTCTTCTTTTCTTCAACTTCAAACCCCTAAGTAAGGTGTTTTGAAAGATTTTTCAAAGATTTCATCTCTCTTTCATTCATTTGCACTTTGTCCTTGCTCGGTTTACCGAAAAGCGTAATTTTTGACAAAATGCGAGCCTCGGAACATCGCAGAAACTTTATTTCAAAAATGCTTTTGAAAGAGAGGGTTTTAAGTCTAAAAAATCTTTTGATCGAGATCGTTCTGGTCCAGAACAGGGGTATGAAGTTGAGATTTGACTCTCTCTTTGCCGAAGAAATTGAACCTTTGCCCTGAACACCTTTCTCCACCATGTAAATCATCAGTCGCGTCGAAGTCTTATGGATGGTGAAAAATGGGGTGTCTACACCCTGTATTGAGTTAAACTCATTTTGTTGTACCCACGCATCGGCTTGGAAAATTGTAGCCATTAAGGCATCTAATTATTTGGCTGAATTTTATTTTAAATTCATGTATTCATGTTATATTCTATAGATTTAGAATCGAGGATTTATGAATATATATTGTACATGTCATCTTTTGTGTTGATCTAAGAAATGAATGGCATAGAAGTTACGATGTCGTTTGATCATTTATGAGTAGTGTTATGGGTTGGATTATTATTATTATTTATTTTAGGGTGTTGCAACTTGGTATAAAAGCTACCAAGTTAGAATACTTTGGGATCGTGAGATGCAGTTTTTACCACAATGGGTTCTCTTGCTAGATGGTATTAGAAATAGACCTGGCATGCTATGTGATAACATGCTTATGTGACTAAATGAGTATTGAATTTAATTTCTTAGATATTGATTGGGTCTACGAGTTTCTAGAAGTCCTAGTTAAAGAGCACTTGATCATTGCTATTTCTAACTAGAACTCTAGTAATGTCACGGGACGATCATTATTTAGAAAGGAAGTTCGTTTGTGTTTATGTGATTAGGTGCTTATGTGGAGTGAATTAATTGTTGTCCACCATGTTCAGACGTAAGTAAATTAGTTTCAGCACATTTGTGAATGTGCTAATATGTTGTGTTACCTTTATTAGGATGTCAGGACATGGATGTGGACGTGGTGGTGTTAGGCATGGTAAGCCTAGACGGCAGGAGATGTCGTTACCTAATGACATTCTGGCACAGGAGAAGGGAGTTGGTCACGCCAGCGTGGCCAAGCCAGCAGGTCAGCAAGCCATGGGCGCTTTGGCCCGTGAAATCGCTAGTGCTTTGCAGGAATCCATGGACATTCTCAGGACTGAGAATCAAGTACAAGCACATGTTGCCGAGACAGGGCTGTCATTTCTAAAGAATAAGTTCTTCCGGTCGAATTCGGATGAGTTTTTTGGGATCCAAAAAAGCTATTGAAGGCAAATGAATGACTTAAGCAAATGCTGAAGACGTTCGAGATGCTTGGCATCGAGAACGATGGTTTGATGGTGACCTTGGCATCTTTGCAGTTGAAGGGAGATGCAGGTCAGTGGTGGAAGTATGCGCGTGGACGTATTAGGATGACTTAGGGGGCCTTTGTCAACGCTTTCCAAGAAAAGTTTTTGCCTCCCATTGCTACAGAGAAGTTGATGGATTATTTCTTGAAGCTCAAGTAGCTGAACACACCTGTAACAGAGTTTGAGGCTGTCTTTACTAGTCTCTTTAGATTTGCACCGGAGCTTATGGCAACAGAGGAACGTCGTTGTGTTGAGTTCAAGAAATGATTAAGGATCGAGCTCCAATTTTTTTAGTTACAATTAATTTTTCTTCTTTAATTATAATATTATTTTAATTATGACTCATGTTGGGTTTAGTTATGATATATATATTAGTTATGATTTAGAAAATTAAAGTAATGCCCTTTTTTTGGGTAAATTACAAACACATTCCCCGAGACTTATTTAAATTATAAATTATCCCATGTGATTCTAGAAATTACATTTTGTCCCCTAAGATTTTTAATTTCATAATAACTAAGTCATTTTATGAATAAATCATCAAGTTAATTACAGTTTTTAATAATGTTAAAATTTTATTTCAATTAATAATTTAGATAATTTTATTATTGTATAGGTAAACAGTTAGAAATTTTACTTTTTTAATTAATTCTGTTAAATAAAAATTTTGACATTGAGGTATTTGTAATATTTCAAACTATAGGGACAATTCATATTTTAAATAAATTTTAGAAAATATATTTATAATTTATCCCTTTTTTAATTATAAGATACATAAGGATGTGTTATAATATTTCTCTTTTAATGTATACACTTTTAAAAAGAATGTCCTGTATATATTTTTAGTTATATTTTTTTTATTTATAATTTATTTTTTTAACTCTTTTAATGTTTACACTTTTAAAAAGAATGTCCTGTATATATTTTTAGTTATATTTTTTTTATTTATAATTTATTTTTTTAATTATGACTCAAACAAATTGTATAAATTTTTTTTTTTTTAAATTATAACGTGCATACCCACACATACACACCATAGATATACACACATACAGACACCAAGAAGAAAACCAGTGGCACAGAGAGAGAGAGAGAGAGAGAGAGAGAGAGTCATCATGCATTCTTTAACCTCCTTTTCCTCCACAAAACCTCACATTATTATTGCTTCTCTATCCAACAATAACCCCCCTCCTCCTCATACCAATCCAAAGCCTCCATTGCATAGGATAAACACTCCCAACCCTTCAACCACAGCAGCAAAGCATCTCCAATTAAAACAGAAACAACAAAAACAAAAACAAAAACAACCCTCTGTTGCTGAAATCGAAAAAGTAATAGGCGCCGGTGTTTTTCGGGACAGAGACACCAGCAACAGGCAAAACGCACTTCATTTGATGCTGATTTTCTGTGGAAAATAATGCTTATTTGTTGTGGTGCTGAACAATTTTAATTTTGATTTCTTCAATTTTTTTAGGAATTCGGAACAGGGCAAGACTCTGTTTGATTCAATCTTTTCGAATTCAGTGGGAGAGTCTGAGGGGCCTGTGGAAAGGAAGCTCCGGGAGACTGGAGAGTGGATCATTGATCGGACTGAGAGATCTTCTAACTCAATTGGTAATCTTCTATTTGTTCATCTTTAGTTTCATTTTTTGTTAGATTCTGAGCTCTCTGTCTATGTAATTCTGTGTTTTTTTCACTCAATTTCTTGATTAATAGTTCTTCTGTTTGTGGTAGTCCTAAAAAGAAACAAGAAAAAATTGTTGTTTTGTGCAATTTAATAATAATACTAAAGAATATTCAGTGCACGAGTTTACGGTTAACCAGTCAAACTATTGTTTATCAGCTCTTTTGTTGTAATTCTTTACTGACCAATATATATATATATTTGATTGAAATTGAAACTCAGGAATTTACTTTTATGGTTAGGTTAAGATGCTTAAGATACCATAGTCTATAACCATCTGAGAGCAATGTTCTATTGAATATTGGGCCTTGGTAGTATGCATGTGGACTTTAGAGTCTCTCACCGACAGATTAGCCCGATATTGTTGCGTGTTTGTGGGCTTCCCGATTCCCCAGCAAATAGCATTGAGGATCCTAAAAGACATTAGTTTGATAACAAAGTTGAAAAATGACCATGCTTTTGTGTGGAAGCTTAACCCTAGATTTGATTGTCTGCTCTCCATCTTCTGGTGGAGCTTTAATTTGGGGCTTAGAGAGTACATATGTAATGTATTATTGATTCTTCCTCAATAGTTGGGGTGAGTTTTCATCCTAAATGGCAGAACTTCTGCTTTGATGTGATTTACCTAAAGGCAGTGATACTATATTTTTTTATGTCCTTGCATATTCATTGTTGTCTTTAATATCTGCAACTATTGAGTTGAAGCTTGTACTCCATTCCTAAAGGATGAGAACAAACATTATGTAGTGGACATCAAAGGCATGGTTTTGAACATTATATGTCATTTGATAGTGAAGGGTAGTTGCATAGGTGGTATTAACTTGTTGTATAGCACAACCAATTTGTAGTCGAACCTTCAAAGCTGTCAGTAGATGTAGATCATCAGGTATGGGCATATTAACAAAGATGGTAAAATAGTTGTTAAATTTTAATCTTGGTGATTTATCTTTCGCAATAAACGTCCCTTTTCAATAAGCGGTTGTACAACTCTGCTGCTCCATAAAAGGGATGTGTCAGACCATTGTCTTTTTTCAAGTCCTAACTCAGATCCAGGAGATGACTCTAATTCAAAGTTAAATATATAAGTTGAATTCGGCCCAATTTTTGTTGGGTTACAGAAATTTCATAGTCTAAGCTGTTAAGGCGAACAAGCATGTGTAGCTGCAATTTCCTTTATGTCCGCATCCACTCATGCATGGTCAAGAACATATGTCCAAGCAAACTACCAGTCGAGTGAGCAAATAGTTTAGATGTATTATTGTAAATTGTCTAGGAAAAACAAATTTCTTGAAGAAGCATATGAAAACTATCGTTTATACAACACATTACAGTGAAATAAATGAGGGCAGTAATCTATTCTCTTAGCATGTCTTGTTAATCATATGCATATTAATTCATGATTTTGGGTTTGGGAAGTAAGTTTATACTGTTGCTTTCAGGCTGATTCTGGAATAGGGTAGCTGGGTCATTGTTTGTTTTTGGTAATGTTTCGGTTGTTCTTGCTTCCTTTCTGTTTTGGTTTGACCTCTTGCCAACCTTTTTTTCTGGTTTTGTTGGAAGTGCTTGCACATGATTTTGCGATCCTTTCTTGTGCCAACCTACTTGGGATGAGTCGGGTTGGCTATGATGTAGATTTCCGTGCTTCTTTGTCCTTTATTGATGTAATTCTTTTTTTTATCTCATTAATAAAGAAATTCTTTTTTGCTGATAAAAAAAATCATCATATGCATATTTTCCTAATCAATTTCTTGGCTTCTAGTTATTGCTTCTTAAATTTTTTTTGGGGCTTCTATTTATAGAATATTTTTAGGTAATTACTGGATGAAACATTTTTCTAGCATTCTCTCTCTCTCTCTCTCTCTCTCACACACACACACGCACACACACACACACGCCAGCACAGTAGAAAATTGGAAAAATTCATACCTTACACTTTTTCCCAAGAGCTCAACATGTTTTGCTGCAGAAGAAAGGAAAGTTCTTCTCATTGCCATCGATCACTTTATCAAATTTACAGGGAATTTATGCGGAATTTACTGGAAATTTAAGCTTCCATTGTGTTGTTGGCTCAATAATTTTAACTTCATGAAGGGGTGTTGGTGGTATCATTTGCTGCTCTAATCTGTTTTTCATCTCTCAAATGCTTAACTACATATGTTGTTACCCTCCTATTGCGATTCACTTATCAGCTCGTTCCATGGTATTTCTGAACTAACTCACTTCTTGGCGACTAGCTTAATTTGTGTTTTTTGGAATCACTTTGCAGGGAAAAATATTTTGATGGCCGTCTTCCAATTCGTTCTACCAATTTGGATTTTGTCATTTCTAGTAGCTTCTGGGATCGTAAAGCTTCCATTCAGTACCCCTTTTCTTGATGACCTAATTATGTAACAACAAATTTCATTTTTTTCCAACCCCATTTGATACAAATTATATTTTGTGAATTTGTATAATAAATTATGACCTCATATCTGAAATGGCATCTATCTAACATAAGGCTTCTGAGATTTGCATCCATTTGCTTGAAATATTTGCAGATGTTGCATGTTCAACTCACATAGGCCCATCAACAGATCAGATTCAGCCGAAATACAAAAAATTCAACACTACCTTATTAGTCATCCATCTGAATCCAAATTTAACAGATTATCCGATAATGGCCAATTCAAATCCGAATCCAAATCCGAATCCACCTTATTCAGATGTCCAATCAATAAATTCAACACTGTCAATTTTTTTTGCTATTGTAGCATTCTTACACCCATTTTTACTTGGCAAATAAGACTAATATTTAGACCTTTTTAGTTCGTCTCAGTAATTTATGGATCGGATACATAATCAGATTGGATCGGATTTATCCAAATCCGCTCCATTATCTACTTCTCAGCTAACTGCCTCACTGTCCTTGGTGAACTGCGTATGTTGCTTTGTGACAATTTTGTTGCAAGTTTGTACATTCCAATGATGTAAACGTATGATTTGGTTATTCCTTTCTTTGTTTTTTGCTGGTTTTGTCCCTAAAACAAGCCTTTACAACACATAATCATTTGTTATACACTGGGGTTAAACTAACATAATTTAAACATTAAAATAACTGTTTTAACAAATTTCTAAACACATTAACTAAAAAAATTCAGGGGAAATAACAACAAAAAAAAAAAACTCTAGTCTAATCTTTGTGACAAAATAAACCCTATATTTTATTATTTTACCTATCTAAACCCTAATATTTTAATTTTTTAAATTTAAACTGTTAGTTTATTTTCATTGAGTAAAACCGACAAAAAAAAAAAAAATGTATTTTACTCATTCAACTCAATATAATTGTATACAAAATGTCTAAAATATAATTTTCCGCTAGGTTTAGAGGCTAAAATATCATCTTTTTTTTTTTTTTTTCCTTTCAGTTTTACTCAACGAAAATAAGTAGATGATTTACATTGAGAACAAATAAAAAAAATTAGAGTTTAAATTAACAAAATTAAAAATTTATTTTTATTTTATTATAAAAGTCAAATCTTAAAAATAAAAAATTAGTGAAAACATTCCTTTTCAAGTTTATGTAGTAGGAGATGTCCAATATGTTTTTTTTATTAACTAAGGTTTAACGATAAAATTTTTGTGTGAAATAAGAGAAATTTATCTGTGAAAATTAAAAAATTTCTGTGTCAAATTTTTTCTGTAAAAATGTTAAGAGATCCTAACTATTATAAAAATATTATATATCTTTTATCTTATAAAATTTTAATATTAGGTACCTTCAAAAAAAATTAATTTTTTTTGTAATTTTTTCAAAAAAATTATTAAAACACTCCAATCCCAACCATACCCTATGAATGGGAGGTTTTTGGCATATGGTGATGATGCTACGGTGGCAAGTGGCGGGTGCACATGCGCCTTTCAAATGGATGCTTCTCAGCGAATATGGTTTGAAGAGGACAGTTCAAAAGTGATGCCTCTAGCTTTGAAGAGGACAGTTCAAAAGTGATGCCTCTAGCTTTGCATTATATTATTAGGTTTTTTCTTTTTCTTTTTCTTTTTCTTTTTTAATTTTATTTTAAAGATAGGTTTTACGTTTTTTATTATAAAAAAAATGCTAACAACTCAGTCATACGAATGCTAAATTTATTCTGAATATATTTGTGTAGTGAAAATTGAATTGATAAAGTGTGAGGTTTACATATGAAATCAATCTAAGCCATTGATTTTTTTTTCTAAATAAATTCTAGATTGATAAGGGAGGGTTTGTAATATTATTGTTTATTATCTATTTGTCTCCATGATATTAGGGGGTAACTTTTACAGCTTAACCTGAGCAATCTGAGCTTAGTTTGAACTTTTTAGAATTTAAAAAAAATATTTTTGAATTCGGTACATTTTAAGGTAAAAATTCAAAAGTCTAAATTAAAGTTGGGTTGTTTAGGCAAAGATACCAAATAACTTGAGCAATCCAAAGCCCGATTTATATACACATAAATATATAAAAATATTAAATATGTATATAAATTATTGGTGATTTGATGATATTAAAATAATTTAAATTATTACATCACATTAAATATATATTATAAACACAAATAACATAATATAAAACCTTGTATTTTTTCTCACTCAGAAATTGTAAAAGCCACTGTAGCGGCATATCGATTCTTTAATTCTTATCTCTTAACATCATATAAATTATTTAGTTTGACATTATTATGATTTTAAAAAAAATATATTAATAGAGCCTAATTTTGACAAATTAATTATTAATTAAATTATTTGCACCCAAAAAAAAAAAAAAAAAAACTCAATTTTTTGAGCAATTCGGGCAACTTAGGTCGGACTTAGACAGACAATTTCTGGTTAAAATTTGGGCTTGAACACACCTGGACAACTCTGAAGATAACTTGGGTTTGGTTTAGACATTCACAACTATATATTTGAATCATATTTATTTTTAAAAAAATAGATGACATATATAATTTTAAAAATAGTTATCCATTGTTGTAATATAAATTTGATTCAAATATATAGCTATCGATATCCAATCATTTTAATTTTACACAAATATTTTATTCAATAAATTTTAAAAAGTAAACAATTCAAATTATCAAAATCAATTCTAAATAGACCTATAAAACCCATACGCTCAGCCAAACCCTAATTGTTATTATACGTAATGTGACAAACCCTTAAAAGATCTTGTTATAAACAATAACTAAAATTACAAGCTGAACTGGTGGTTGATGTACACTACAAAATATTGTGATAGATAAAGGTGGGTCTAAGACCTCGTTTGGTAACTGACTCTTTTAACTAAAAAGTCAAAAAGTCATTAAAGAAATCAAAAAAACAATAACTCATATCAAAAAGTCAAAGATTATTTTTTTCTCTACTTTTTGCACATCTTTTCGTAAAGAGTCAAAAAGTTATCCCAAATATACTAATTTTTTTTACATCACATTTTAACAAAAAAATCAAAAAATTACTAAAAAAATCTATTTTCAAACGAGGCCTAAATGTATCTCCATAATTTAAATGGGCATCCTATTCGTTTGGACACCTCAATTGAAATTTTGAATTTTGAATTTTTATTACCCATTTAATCCCAACTTTACCACCCTCACCTACCTACCATCGAGACCACCTTTGTTGCCCAAACCACCTCTACCGCCTCTATTGATCACCCGCAATTATCTCATCTTCTCGCCACCCATCTCCACCATCCATTCTGTTACCCTGTCACTCCCCTCATCTGCCAACCTTTCCTTTGTAACCCATCAGCGACCCCTGCCTATCACCTCATCATTTTCTCGTTCTCCTCACCCTTCTCCCTAAACCCTAGATCTAGAGGTTTCATTTCCCCTTGTTCCTTCTCCTTTCTTAATCTCTCTCATTTAGGGTTTAGAGAGGGAATTAGTGACAAAGATGAAGAAGAATGACAGGACAAGGGAGAAGAAGAAAGGAATATAATAGGGGTTTGCGACGAAAAGGGAGCTGGATTAGGATGTCGTTTGAGAATGAAGGGGTTGGGTTAGGGATTTGCAGTAAGGGATAGGGTCTCGACGATTTAGGGGGAAGAAGAAAAAGAAGAAGAAGAAGAAGAAGAATAAAGAAGATGAGGTGGCAGTAGTGATGAGAGGCTACAGTGGAAAAGAAAGAGAAAGAAGATAAGGTGGCAACAGTGATAATAGAATGTGTGTGGGTGATTTTCCGATCACACTGCCCACTTAGTAACCAGCTGGAGAGCTCCGGCAGAATAGATGGCACCTGACTGACCTGCAACAGAAATATAAGAATCCCGCGGTGGTTTCGACCACCCGGGGGCACTCCGACAATCAAGTCAGTATATCTCTCAAAGACTAGAGCTAGGCATTGTTTTTCTTTGCCTTTTTGGTCATTGTGTAAGGGTAAAATGGTATATATATATATATATATATTGGAGGGGAAAAATGGAGAGGAAGGGGGGTTAATTCTATTTACACATAATTTTACCTCCTTATATAATTGTTGGTTACAGGGCCAGTGATCACCTTGTGGACTCGCTGTCACGTATGGACGTGGCATCAGTGCTTGACAACCCATCATGTTGGCACTTATAGCACAACCCCTCATGCCCATCTGCCACTTAGTGTGGGGCATTGCGTTGCCAAGCATATAAGGAAATAAAGTTGCATCTTTACCACTACCTATGAATTTTGGTGAGATGGTAAGTGCTTGATCCTAACAACACTATTTTTCTAAATTCACCTCCCTCAAATATTCAAAAATTTTATTTCATCTCTTTACACACTTCTTTTTTTCACATATATCTTCATTCCTAACCTCTTACCTTTTCCTTACACTCAATCTTTCAAACCCTAATGCCTTCATCTTTAACTACTATAGCCACCGCCGATGCCATCACCACCTCCAAGCACCACCCTGCAATGCCACTGCCATGGCTTGCAATCCCCCATCGCCCAATCATCACTCCATAGCCTCCCTCGCAACCACCAATTTCACAAATTCTTTTCAGCATTTTTGTTTTGTTTAGCGAACTAGAGCTGAGCAAATTTTGTCTATTCAGTGAGACATGGCCAAACAAAGTTGGTTTGTTCGGTTGGAAACAGCCAAACAAATCATATTTGTTCGGCCACGTCCCACCAAATAGGCTGAGATTGATTAATTAGCTATGTTCGGCCATCAAAATCTAAACAAATTTAATTTGGTTGGCTACCAAAGACCGAACTATCTCAATTTGTTTGGTGAACCAAAGTCAGAAGTAGTTTCGACTTCACTTTTAAAAATAATGCAAATTGCACCAAAAATATTGAAAATGATACCCAAAAATCTTGTATATTATTTATTTATAATGATTATATACATTTTAAATATAAATTTTACTTCTCTTTTTTTTTTTTGGTTGTTTGTTGTTTATATATATATTCTTTAAGGTAAATGCATTTGGATTTGTAGATGGATGGAAAGAGGGAAAGATGGGAAAAAGGTTATCGGTAGTTGGTAGAGAAGAAAGCAGGCGGTAGTGGGTA